TAGGTAAGGATATCTCTGAAGATTCTGCTCCGAGACCTGATGGTTTTACTTCTTCTATTTTTTTTAATTATGCTTGGCCAATGGTAGCTAAAGATGTTGTTATGGCAGTTGAGGGACTTTTTGGGGGCAAAGAACGAAATGATGCAATGGGGGATTCTATCATTGCTTTAGTGCCTAAAACTGAAGATCCCAAGACATTTCAGGATTATGGACCTTTAAGTTTATGTCGGGTATTCTACAAAATCATATCCAAAGTGGTAGCCAATCGTTTGATTCTGATTTTACCTAACTTAATTTCTATGAATCAATGTGGCTTTGTTACTGGTAGAATGATCTCTGAAAATGTTGCGTTGGCTCAAGAGTTAGTTCAAAATCTGAATAAGCGTTCCCGAGGCGCCAATGTGATAATGAAAGTAGACGTGGCAAAGGCTTTTGATAGGGTCTCTTGGGGCTACTTGTTAGATATGTTAAAGGCATTTGGTTTTGCAGATGCTTGGGTCTTCCTTATTAAAAATGTTATTTCTTTACCACGATTTTCAGTTAAAATTAATGGTGTTTTAGCTGGATTTTTCACACCATCTCGTGGGCCTAAGCAAGGCAATCCATTATCTCCATTGTTATTTATTATCAGCGAAGAACCTTTCAGTAGGGGCCTAACAAAACTTCAGGAAGATGGTAGTACCGCTCCATATCAGGTGCCTGTTACATGTTCTTCCATATCACACCTCCTCTATGCAGATGATTTCTTGATGTTTACTAATGGCACTCGACGTTGTCTTAATAATTTAATGGAATTTCTCCGTCGATGCAGATGATTTCTTGGTGTTTGCGAATGGAACTCGACGTAGCCTTAATAGTTAAATGGGATTTCTCCGGCGTTATGAAAGTTTATCTAGGCAGGGAATTAATGTGGCTAAGAGTTCTTTTATAGTACAAAAGCGAGTTGCAACGTCTAGAAAGCGTATCATTGCAATCACTACAGGATTCAAAGAAAACTCCCTCTCGTTTACTTATGTTGGAGCCCCTCTTCATTACGGCAAACCCATCTCCACCATGTTCACCCCGATACTTGATAAAATCAGGAAAAAATTAGCGGGTTGGAAACAAAAGCTTCTGTCCATGGGTGGTAAGCTCACTTTGATAAAATTAGTATTAAGTTCCATACCTATCTATTAATTTTCTGTAATCACCCCTCCTATAAAAGTTGTTAAAGAGATACAAGCTCTTTTTTTGCTCTTTTTTTGCCAACTTTTTTTTGGGGAGAATCTGAAGATGGATTTAAACGTCATTGGGTCTCTTGAAATAACATCTGCTATCTACAAAAGGAAGGATGTTTGGGTATTTGCAATCTGCTTGATGTGATCAAGTCGCTTCAATGTAAAATGGCATGGAGAATTATTTATTCGTACTCTCTCTAGGCTGATTTCTTGCGACAAAAATATCTCAGTCATCACCTTGACTCGACCAACATTCCTGTAAATAGATTCATCTATATGGAAACATCTTTTACTTCACTTCCCATTCATTTTAGAACATAGCAGATGGTCGATCCGAAATGGTCGTGCTCTTTTTTGGTATGACAATTGGAGGGGTTCGGGTAGTTTGTCTGCACTTGGTTGGACTGCCAACTCTCAAAATTTAAGACTTGATGACGTAGTTTTAAATAGAAAATGGAACTTGGATAAGCTATTTTCTTTAGGTGATTCAGCTTTAGTGGAAGATATTCAACGTTCACAAATCCAACTCCGCAGAGGTAATAATGAATTAATTTGTGCCCTTGCAGCAATGGTTTATTCTCTACAAGCTCAGCTTGGTCTCCTAAATCTTCTGCTCTTCCGTGTAAGATCATTTGAAACTCTAACATGCCACCAAAAATCTCTATTTTTTGTTGGTGTCTTTGGCTTAATGTGGTTTAAGTGGATGAAGTTGTTATGCGTTGTAGGGTTCCTATTGTTTCCAAATGTCAATGCTATTGATAGAGACATAAAAAAGCAACAGACCATATTTTCACCACCAGTCCTATTGCTCTTCAAGCATGGCAATATTTTGGAAATTTATTTGGGGTTTGCGTGCCTACAAATATTTCTTGGTAGTCTATAATGTTACTTTGGAATACTCATTTTAGCAGGTCAACACAAGAACATCTTTTAGCTCTACTTGTCCCACCACTTCTTTCATAGAGCTGTGATTGGCCAGAAATTCTGCAAGATTTAAGAATGAGATAGTTAACTTGCACAAAATTTGTGCTAAAGTGAAACGCTGGCTACACGAATTGAATGGTTTTCTTAAACCAAAAAAAAAATGTCGCTTTCCTCCTATTTCTCACAGATATTGCACATTCCTACGGTTCCAATACGAGTAAAAACTCAATTCCTAGTTAAATGGTACCCTCCTCAACATGGTTGTTATAAACTTAATATTGATGGTGCAAGTGCTGGAAATCCAGGCCCAGCTGGTTGTGGTGGATTGCTTTGGGATTGGAAGGGAAATGTTATTTTTGGGTTCTATAACTCTCTAAGGGTTGGAACCAACACTTTAGCAGAGGTATCAGCTCTAAGAATATGCTTTCAAATATGCTATGTCCTTGGCATAGAAATGATTGCAATAGAAACAGATTCTAATGTGGTGGTATATTATTTTCATCATCAAGTTAACATACCTTGGTCTATTCGACTTATTTGGGAGGATATTTTGGAGCTTGCTCATGTTATGTCTATTGATGTATCACATATTTATCAAGAAGCTAACCGGTTGGCATATTCACTTGCGTGACTTGGAGCTCAAGATAGTTCAGACTTCTTAGAATCAATCTCTAGTTTTCCTATTTATACTGTTGGTTGCATCTGCTTAGATAATTGTAGCTTGCCTTGTTTTCGTTTTCAGTAGTTTTAATGAGTATCTATTGTAAGGAAAGTAATATTTCCTTTTTTACTACTTTACTTTATTTCTTCTGTAAGGGAAGTAGTACTTCCCCATTTATAACTTTGTTTCATTTCAATTGTAATGACGGTATTCCTCTGTTATAAGTAATGACATATTAATAAATTCTCGGAGGTAAAAAAAAAAAAAAAAACTCTTTTTTACACTAATACAGATTGGTGGGAGCGAAGTACGGTTCAAAGAAACGACACTGTAACATGACTTGCAGTTTCACTTTCGGATAGAATTTTTTCCATACAAATATTCCTTTTACTTTTCTTTGGAAATTTGATTTTCCTTAACCTAAATCTATACATGAAGTAGAAAGGCAAGCAGATAAAAATATACGTTTCCTAGATGCACATTAAATGAAGATGGTGCACTTGTTTTGAGTCAGAAAAATAATAAAGGATAATCAACTCTTCAAAAGATCCAGAAAATCTAAAGTTATATACACCTATATGTTGCTCTTTAAAAAAAGAAAAGAAAAGGGAAGAAAAACTGCATACTTCGCCAATGCTAGCTATATACCAGTTCTAGAATTAGAAGATAAAATATTAAAATATGACTGAGAAATAAGGAGGGGACAGCCAAGATCACCACCATACCCAGTCCGCAAATCCATCACGCAAAATAGGTTTAGGTTACCTAACACAGGTTTTTCTTTTTCAAGAAAGAGAACAAATCAGCCATTTTTTTCCTTATCCACTCTGAACTTGTCTCTCTTACACGGCAGTGTCATTTGAGCTACAGAAAGTTTTGAGGTTTTTTGCTGTTAGCTGCTGCAATGGTATAACTACTTATACTATTTCTAGAAACCTTGATCGTTGAAAATACTATTACACAGCATCATTGAACCATGATTATCATTTCTTTGGTTCTTATGATAAGTTACAAACGACATAAATCGACGGGGATGTGATCGTGATTTTTCCTTTTATTTGTAGTACTGCTTGTTTCAGTTTTTGTTTCTACTTCTTTTAGGGTAACACCCCAACCACCCACTC